AGTATCTGTTGTAGTCAAAAGTATCTGTTGTAGTCAACAGTATCTGTTGTAGTCAAAAGTATCTGTTGTAGTCAAAAGTATCTGTTGTAGTCAAAAGTATCTGTTGTAGTCAAATGTACATGTATATGTTGAAGTCAAAAGTATCTGTTGTAGTCAACAGTATATGTTGTAGTCAAAAGTGTATATTGTAGTCAAATGTACATGTATATGTTGAAGTCAAAAGTATCTGTTGTAGTCAACAGTATATGTTGTAGTCAAAAGTGTATATTGTAGTCAAAAGTGTATATTGTAGTCAAAAGTATATGTTGTAGTCAAACGTATCTGTTGTAGTCAAAAGTATATGTTGTAGTCAAAAGTATCTGTTGTAGTCAAAAGTATCTGTTGTAGTCAAATGTACATGTATATGTTGAAGTCAAAAGTATCTGTTGTAGTCAACAGTATATGTTGTAGTCAAAAGTGTATATTGTAGTCAAATGTATATGTATATGTTGAAGTCAAAAGTATCTGTTGTAGTCAACAGTATATGTTGTAGTCAAAAGTGTATATTGTAGTCAAAAGTATATGTTGTAGTCAAAAGTATCTGTTGTAGTCAAAAGTATATGTTGTAGTCAAAAGTATCTGTTGTAGTCAAAAGTATCTGTTGTAGTCAAAAGTATCTGTTGTAGTCAAAAGTATCTGTTGTAGTCAAAAGTATCTGTTGTAGTCAAAAGTATCTGTTGTAGTCAAATGTACATGTATATGTTGAAGTCAAAAGTATCTGTTGTAGTCAACAGTATATGTTGTAGTCAAAAGTGTATATTGTAGTCAAAAGTATATATTGTAGTCAAAAGTATATGTTGTAGTCAAACGTATCTGTTGTAGTCAAAAGTATATGTTGTAGTCAAAAGTATCTGTTGTAGTCAAAAGTATCTGTTGTAGTCAAAAGTATATGTTGTAGTCAAAAGTATATGTTGTAGTCAAAAGTATCTGTTGTAGTCAAAAGTATATGTTGTAGTCAAAAGTATATGTTGTAGTCAAAAGTATATGTTGTAGTCAAAAGTATCTGTTGTAGTCAACAGTATATGTTGTAGTCAAAAGTATATATTGTAGTCAAAAGTATATATTGTAGTCAAAAGTATATGTTGTAGTCAAAAGTATCTGTTGTAGTCAACAGTATATGTTGTAGTCAAAAGTATATATTGTAGTCAAAAGTATATATTGTAGTCAAAAGTATATGTTGTAGTCAAAAGTATCTGTTGTAGTCAAAAGTATATGTTGTAGTCAAAAGTATATATTGTAGTCAAAAGTATATGTTGTAGTCAAAAGTATCTGTTGTAGTCAACAGTATATGTTGTAGTCAAAAGTATATATTGTAGTCAAAAGTATATATTGTAGTCAAAAGTATATGTTGTAGTCAAAAGTATCTGTTGTAGTCAAAAGTATATGTTGTAGTCAAAAGTATATATTGTAGTCAAAAGTATATGTTGTAGTCAAAAGTATCTGTTGTAGTCAACAGTATATGTTGTAGTCAAAAGTATATATTGTAGTCAAAAGTATATATTGTAGTCAAAAGTATATGTTGTAGTCAAAAGTATCTGTTGTAGTCAAAAGTATATGTTGTAGTCAAAAGTATATATTGTAGTCAAAAGTATATGTTGTAGTCAAAAGTATCTGTTGTAGTCAACAGTATATGTTGTAGTCAAAAGTGTATATTGTAGTCAAAAGTATATATTGTAGTCAAAAGTATATGTTGTAGTCAAAAGTATCTGTTGTAGTCAAAAGTATATGTTGTAGTCAAAAGTGTATATTGTAGTCAAAAGTATATGTTGTAGTCAAAAGTATCTGTTGTAGTCAACAGTATCTGTTGTAGTCAAAAGTACATGTATATGTTGTAGTCAAAAGTATCTGTTGTAGTCAACAGTATATGTTGTAGTCAAAAGTGTATATTGTAGTCAAAAGTGTATATTGTAGTCAAAAGTATATGTTGTAGTCAAACGTATCTGTTGTAGTCAAAAGTATCTGTTGTAGTCAAAAGTACATGTATATGTTGTAGTCAAAAGTATCTGTTGTAGTCAACAGTATATGTTGTAGTCAAAAGTGTATATTGTAGTCAAAAGTGTATATTGTAGTCAAAAGTATATGTTGTAGTCAAAAGTATCTGTTGTAGTCAAAAGTATCTGTTGTAGTCAAAAGTACATGTATATGTTGTAGTCAAAAGTATCTGTTGTAGTCAACAGTATATGTTGTAGTCAAAAGTGTATATTGTAGTCAAAAGTGTATATTGTAGTCAAAAGTATATGTTGTAGTCAAACGTATCTGTTGTAGTCAAAAGTATCTGTTGTAGTCAAAAGTACATGTATATGTTGTAGTCAAAAGTATCTGTTGTAGTCAACAGTATATGTTGTAGTCAAAAGTGTATATTGTAGTCAAAAGTGTATATTGTAGTCAAAAGTATATGTTGTAGTCAAAAGTATCTGTTGTAGTCAAAAGTATCTGTTGTAGTCAAAAGTACATGTATATGTTGTAGTCAAAAGTATCTGTTGTAGTCAACAGTATATGTTGTAGTCAAAAGTGTATATTGTAGTCAAAAGTATATATTGTAGTCAAAAGTATATGTTGTAGTCAAAAGTATCTGTTGTAGTCAAAAGTATATGTTGTAGTCAAAAGTATATATTGTAGTCAAAAGTATATGTTGTAGTCAAAAGTATCTGTTGTAGTCAACAGTATATGTTGTAGTCAAAAGTATATGTTGTAGTCAAATGTACATGTATATGTTGAAGTCAAAAGTATCTGTTGTAGTCAACAGTATATGTTGTAGTCAAAAGTATATATTGTAGTCAAAAGTATATGTTGTAGTCAATAGTACATGTATATGTTGTAGTCAAAAGTATCTGTTGTAGTCAACAGTATATGTTGAAGTCAAAAGTGTATATTGTAGTCAAAAGTATATGTTCTAGTCAAAAGTATCTGTTGTAGTCAGCAGTATCTGTTGTAGTCAAATGTACATGTATATGTTGTAGCCAAAAGTATCTGTTGTAGTCAACAGTATATGTTGAAGTCAAAAGTGTATATTGTAGTCAAAAGTATATGTTCTAGTCAAAAGTATCTGTTGTAGTCAGCAGTATCTGTTGTAGTCAAATGTACATGTATATGTTGAAGTCAAAAGTATCTGTTGTAGTCAACAGAATATGTTGTAGTCAAAAGTATATACTGTAGTTAAAAGTATATATTGTAGTCAAAAGTATATGTTGTAGTCAAACGTATCTGTTGTAGTCAAAAGTATCTGTTGTAGTCAACAGTATATGTTGTAGTCAAAAGTATATATTGTAGTCAAAAGTATATATTGTAGTCAACAGTATTTGTTGTAGTCAAAAGTATATATTGAAGTCAAAAGTATCTGTTGTAGTCAACAGTATATGTTGTAGTCAAAAGTACATGTATATGTTGTAGTCAAACGTATATGCTGTAGTCAAAAGTATCTGTTGTAGTCAAAAGTGTATATTGTAGTCAAAAGTGTATATTGTAGTCAAAAGTATATGTTGTAGTCAACAGTATCTGTTGTAGTCAAAAGTATCTGTTGTAGTCAAAAGTACATGTATATGTTGTAGTCAAAAGTATCTGTTGTAGTCAACAGTATATGTTGTAGTCAAAAGTGTATATTGTAGTCAAAAGTGTATATTGTAGTCAAAAGTATATGTTGTAGTCAAAAGTATCTGTTGTAGTCAAAAGTATCTGTTGTAGTCAAAAGTACATGTATATGTTGTAGTCAAAAGTATCTGTTGTAGTCAACAGTATATGTTGTAGTCAAAAGTGTATATTGTAGTCAAAAGTGTATATTGTAGTCAAAAGTATATGTTGTAGTCAAAAGTATCTGTTGTAGTCAAAAGTATATGTTGTAGTCAAAAGTGTATATTGTAGTCAAAAGTATATGTTGTAGTCAAAAGTATCTGTTGTAGTCAACAGTATCTGTTGTAGTCAAAAGTACATGTATATGTTGTAGTCAAAAGTATCTGTTGTAGTCAACAGTATATGTTGTAGTCAAAAGTGTATATTGTAGTCAAAAGTGTATATTGTAGTCAAAAGTATATGTTGTAGTCAAAAGTATCTGTTGTAGTCAAAAGTATATGTTGTAGTCAAAAGTGTATATTGTAGTCAAAAGTATATGTTGTAGTCAAAAGTATCTGTTGTAGTCAACAGTATCTGTTGTAGTCAAAAGTACATGTATATGTTGTAGTCAAAAGTATCTGTTGTAGTCAACAGTATATGTTGTAGTCAAAAGTGTATATTGTAGTCAAAAGTGTATATTGTAGTCAAAAGTATATGTTGTAGTCAAAAGTATCTGTTGTAGTCAAAAGTATCTGTTGTAGTCAAAAGTACATGTATATGTTGTAGTCAAAAGTATCTGTTGTAGTCAACAGTATATGTTGTAGTCAAAAGTGTATATTGTAGTCAAAAGTATATATTGTAGTCAAAAATATATGTTGTAGTCAAAAGCATCTGTTGTAGTCAAAAGTACATGTATATGTTGTAGTCAACAGTATCTGTTGTAGTCAACAGTATATGTTGTAGTCAAAAGTATATATTGTAGTCAAAAGTGTATATTGTAGTCAAAAGTATATATTGAAGTCAAAAGTATCTGTTGTAGTCAACTGTATCTGTTGTAGTCAAAAGTACATGTATATGTTGTAGTCAACAGTATCTGTTGTAGTCAACAGTATATATTGTAGTCAAAAGTATATATTGTAGTCAACAGTATATGTTGTAGTCAAAAGTGTATATTGTAGTCAAAAGTATATGTTGTAGTCAAAAGTATCTGTTGTAGTCAACAGTATCTGTTGTAGTCAAAAGTACATGTATATGTTGTAGTCAAAAGTATCTGTTGTAGTCAACAGTATATGTTGTAGTCAAAAGTATATATTGTAGTCAAAAGTATATATTGTAGTCAAAAGTATATGTTGTAGTCAAAAGTATCTGTTTTAGTCAAAAGTATATATTGTAGTCAAAAGTATATATTGTAGTCAAAAGTATCTGTTGTAGTCAAAAGCTGTAATTGTATAATCTCGTTAAAGGCTTTTGTCGGAACGCCACCGATGAACCCTATTTGGGGAAAAACAAGGACCCTATGGAGCAGAAACAATTTTTACGCTGACTTAGTTTGGATTTGTACATCATGTTTAACTACTTTAGTACATCATGACGTCGTATTTCTTATAACATTATTAAAGACCATAGTACACCATACAATGCTATAACTGAGTGGTATCTGAGGACTTGCTTTGTTTACTCGTGTTCCATTCATAGTAACTTCTGCCAGAAAACGGTTTGTCACGTGACTGGTCTTATAAGCGATGGATACACACACACATCCTATCTGTTTCTTTACCCAAAACATTAATAACATCCATTGTAACAGTATATATGACGTAATGAGAATGTTATGTTGCTACATAGACAGGAAATCGAAATGGAGACGATGACATATGTAGAATGATGATAGAAAACATGTTTTTTGCGAAAAATTCACAGATATTTCTGGGCATCTTAAGTTGGTTTACAAGGAGACTTGTTCCATATTTATCACTTTCTGTTGATGATTCTCTTGCAGCACACAAGAAGGGCCATCAACAGGAATTCCACCAGCTCTGACAGGGTTAGAAGACTGGCGCCCAGGAATATCCCCATCTGACCTCCAAGAGTTGCTTTGAAAATAAATATTCATAGATATATATTCACTCGGTCAACAGAAAATATTGATTTTAATGTTTACGGATGCAATATAGTTATTGCTTCGAAACAACGAGTAGCAAAGCCGAACAATAACTTCCGCTTTTTAGAACCTTTCTGTTTTCTTTCCTCTTAATAAAGAATAAATTGAATAAAACATGTATATTTTCACAATAGATGTCTCTATGTTCCTCCGTTTATAGTGTACTTTAGTACGGATACCCCAAAATCTCAATGAAAAAGCATAGACATAGCTAGCCTAACGCTAGTTATGTGAAACGAAACTGCAACTACAACTTACCAAGGAAAATGATTTTTTTTCATTTAAAAATATTATTTATGACATTTTCCCACAGCTTCATCAAGTAAAAAAGCAGTAAGCAAAATACCATAACATCAATTTACAAGGACGTTATATAAATTAATTTAATACGAAAAGTCAACAGCAAAGATGAAGGAAGAAAACATTAAATACTTATATCAATAGCAGCATGGCACTGATTTAGTGTAAAATGAAAATGAGTTGTCATACAGGGTCGTATTAAGAGATGATTGAAAGTGTAAGATATCATTATTGTGTTTCCGATAAGATGAATTTCGCGGTTTTGGTATAAGTACAGTGCGAGAACACCTTTAAGAGTCTGCACTTTAACTAGTAGTAGAAGAATAAGAATTTATACAATAACTAGTAGTGCAAATACTTATGGCACCTGTTTTAGTATACCTATACAGGATACAGCAGAGTTTTCGGTTAAACATGGTCGATACTTTACTCTAGGTCTTATTGCAGTAGCCATTGATTCTTACAAAACAAATCAACTCAACAATATCCTGTGGCTTCTATGTGTTTATTTGATACATGAAATGAAACTGATTTATATAAAAAAAAAATGATTATTATAAACTCGTTACTATCAGACGATCGGCATTCTCTGTATTATATGAATCAACCAAAATCTGTTGTCCAAATGACACTTATTACACAACTAGAGGTATATTTTCGTAACAATTTTTAGCACTCAGGACCTATGAAAGAGCTGGAGGTAAAACTGGTTGTTATGGGATAACAAGCGATGCCTGTTCCTTGTGTGGCACCCATAAGTCTGCCACCCTCACGGATGAATATTATTGGAGGAATACTACAGTACATACCAACTATTTTTTCCACGTCATACTCCGGTTGGTACTCGACCTTCAGATAACTCAGGGTGTCGAAGAAAATTCTCACCTCCATGAAACTTGTCCTGTTGAAAACAAGTGGTTATGTACGACTTAGGATTCACCATTCGACACGTCTCGATATTTCTGAGAGCTGACGTTACACGCTCGGCACATTGTGGCTTAGTGAGAATGTTTTCAGTGGTTTAGAGTCGAGACATCGATCATTTGCACTCTTTCAGTTCGCTTGAAACAGACATTTCCGAAAGCTCGCAAAATCAGTTTTCAATTGCTGTTTGTGTTCAAAACAAACCTATCATTTACGTGGTAATATATCTTAATATGATACAGCATTGGAGTCAATAAATGCTGCAATAGGTATATAACTATATAGGATAGAAACAATCGATAAATTTGAGTTGATGTTTATGCTCTGTGCGGTTTGTATAAGATCACACAGTATATTGACAACTAATTTAGTTATTGCTACTAAAATATTTTATTAAAGAAAACGGATTGATAAAAGAACTTGATTTCACCGTTGAATAACGTCATTTGAAATTCAAAATGCACGTTTTTCCTGAAAATTACTATATGTACAGAAAGTGTTAGCATTGTTATGTACAGATTTACTATATATGTACAGATAAGGTATGGGAAAAAAATGGTATTATACTTGCGTGTTTGTTATTTAAGCCATGAATGCTTTAGCAAATGTTGTTTTGGTCCTATAACACACATTGCTATTGTTGACAAACGAGATATAGCCCAGTAGGATTTTATGTAAGTAATATCAATATGTAATTAATAACATTAATTATTGATATTTATATCTTGATAGAGTAGTTATGCTTTATGAAGTTATTTCGAACACTATTTTATACAGTAAATTAAGTGTTGACAACCATGAAAGTGATGACGTCACAAAAGAGATTAATTACGTTACAATAGGCAATGTTGCTACAGTCTCACAACAACATTTGCCTCCCCGGTGCATGGCAATGGAAGGATTTATTTATGTGGTATAAAACTAGAATTTTGTTTATAAAAAACGTTTATAATTTGGATAAAACAGTTGTTTGATGTTATGCGTAAGTTGATACTGTTTACCTCATATCCTTGTATCCCATTTGAGTGAAGAAGTCTATGTTGGGCTTGGACGGGAAGTAGGCCGTGGTGACGGAGGCGCTGTACATGTTAAACACACATGGAATAGCACAATGACACTCCTTCTGTAAGGTCATGTTCCGTGTGTAGAAATCTGACGAGAAAAGAAACACATAGAAAGTTTTAGGTACATTCCACAAAGCAAAACCGTAACGGGTAAATATAGTTACGTTTGAATAGTAAAATAGAAAGGTTCTGGGTTTTTTTTAAATCCAGTAATTCAACATATCATCTGGTTGGTACGTGTTTCAGTAAGGACAGCAATTCTCCGATGGTAATGTATATGAATATGTTACGTGTTATACCCTAAGCCTACATATCTTTTAAATTAATTGCTACATGATATAAATATTTGTTCTCCCTGTATGCACCCTGCAGTTCGAGGATTGTGGAAAAATACAGCTGCTGTTACTTTTTGCATATTGTAAGAGGCAGCTAATGGTTGAACCCCCTGCAGAATTGGGGAGTTCTTTTGTGCCCTCAGGTAGGAACACAAAAGCAGCCAAAGTAAATCCTAACAAACTTTTTGTTTCCTTGTACCTTATTTGAAAACATCTCCCTTTTCCTCGTTTGTGTTGATTGTTCACCAAGTTTGGGAAGACAATGCGTTCTGTCAACATGCCGGAGCATACCAAAATCCTATAAAATCTAGTTCTTATTCCCTGCTAAACGGTCAACATGTATGGTTCCGGATCAACTGGTTCACCCGTTGTCAGTATAATGTGACTGGGTGGATTACCGTGCCGGGTACCTTCGGCATGGTATTTCAGTGATGTAGCACTATACAGTTGGCATCAGATCTAGATCTGCTATATTACTAAGAGGTAAATACATCAACATACCGCCTCTGGCAATCATGCACACATGCATTGATACATAACGCTTGACTTGAAGTTAGCGTGAACTGATTATATGACGTTAACCGAAACCAAAATCCGGTTCACATCTTCACAATAAATAAATGAAAATCTTAAGTTGTTCTTTTTAATAGGAACATCTGGTTTATTACTTAACATGAAGTAACTAAGAAAATTTCCAAGATAAAAGTACTTATTGCGTGCGACAGAAACGCCTTGTGACGTTAGGATTACAGTGACTTGATAAAGATGATATTTAACTGCCGTTTCTGAAATGTTATCGTCGAGTCCATTTTACCAATCAATGATCCCCTCGTGATATATAATCCGATGAATGATAATGAAGGACGATTGATGTTATATAATATATCACAACATGCTGTAAATATTTCTTCATAAATAAGTTTATTTTATTTTTACATGTCATCGAGATATACTAAAATTACAGTAGGTAATGCAATGCTGTATAATATCATTTGGGAATAGCGTAGTAGACCTACCTGCATATACATCATAACATTGCGCATGCTCCCTAAACGTGCAGATTCTCTCTGTTCCTGCAATGGTTAAAGATAAAGGAAGTGTTATAAGTGAATGTCATTAATAGGGAACATAGGATAAATGTACAACATACAGGATCTTAAATATCTGACGTAATTTATATTTATACCGAAATCTATTATTTATGCAATTTTACAATTTCTTATTTAACCGTATCGAATCACTTATTTGTCTGAAAGATGGTACACTGCTCTGATAAATCGTAACATGGCCGTGAAATACATTTGTGTACTGCACGGTCACATGACCAATATATTTGCAGTCCAAAAGGAAGTAGATTTCAAGCGTTTTATTGTCACTGATTGCTCTGTTTTCTAGTGACCGCTGGCTGTCAAATGGCAGTTGGGATTTCTTTCCGCTATGAGTCGGAAGAACTTTTAGTAGAGTATTACATCATAAACACGCATACACGTATCAGTGTTCTGTGAGGATTGTAAGCGAGTTGATAAAGTTACAGTTTCGACATTATTGTTAAACATGTAATGAAATAACTATCAAATGTTTGTTCGTGGAATAGCGAAATTCATTTCACCTACGGATCTGGTAGCTGACCATGTGTCACATTACAGAAGTTCAAAGGCCAAATGCAATATTACACATGGTCAACAACGACATTACCCCTAACGAGTTCGTATTACAGGGTGACAGGCCAACGTCAAGATCATTGTAAATACCTCGAACGTGTTCGTGTTCCATGATGTTAAGCCATTGTCAAGGTTGTCATTATAATTAACTGTTTTTATGATTTATCAATTTCGCCATTTTATTCCGGAATGCTCTTCACATTGTAATCAAACTTCATCTATCGATGAAGGGAACCAAGGTCAACGTCACTTTCCATTTTGTTAAAAAACTCTTTGTCGTAGATAGTTTTTTTTTATCAAACTTAATATATTCAGCATGAGAATACCTCAAGAACAAGTTTCTGTGTTAGATCACGGTCAACGTTACTATTTTATATTATTTTGTCATCATTTTAGCAACCTAATCCCTATTTCAAACACCGCACACAAGGGAATCTGTGTCTGTTGTGATGCCTTGTTTTTAGTCTGGCTTAAGAGTATTCCTGCTCACCAGCATGTTATAACCGGCCGTTTATCTGACACTGCTGACATATTGTACTTAATTATTGACACCATTCATTGTTAAACATTCCTTTTACACGGAATCATTTAGTGAGATGTTATCCTGGTTTTGTTTATGAGGGTCATTTATATACAGAACAAAGACAGAGCGGACGTCATCAATATAAGACGACAGACACGCGGAACCTGCTTTAAGTCTATAATATTGAGCTAAGACGTGAAGTTATTGATGAAACAAAGAGGTCATCAATGCAGATATAGTTTAAGTATGTTGAAATAAATGCAGACGACATCGTTGTTCACCTAGTGGTATTATTTCCATCCGTGTTTACAGTATACGCTGGTAAGAATTTAAGTGTTAGTTCATGGTTACCCAGTGGCAACCAAACGAGGCTAATATCAAGAAATGTAAAATGTTTAATATGTCTAAGACAAAACTTTTACAAGGACATATTCTGGAAAGTGAAATTTTACTCCATTACATCTACACATTCACAGCCAAACGTACGTGACCAGGAAACGATATCACATATATACATGTATATACTTACCGATGTCAGCCAAAAGTATTTACCGATGTCGGTATTCACTTGGCATCCTAGAGTTTTAACTGATGCCAGTTTTTATCTGGCAGCCAAAAGTACTTGCCGATTTCAGATTTTACATTGCAGCAATAAGCTATTACCGATGTCATTGTTCACCTGCCAGGCTACACGTGTTCACTAATGTCTATGTTTATGCGTACCTACCGATGTCAGCGGGCGCCTGGTAGTCGGAGGTTCTAACCGATGTCAATGAGCGCCTGGTAGACATACATATTTACATATGTCAGTTGGCGCCTGGCAGTCACATATTCTAACCGATGTTAGTGGGCGTCTGGCAGTCACAGGTTCTAACCGATGTCAATGAACGCCTGGTAGCAATACATATTTATATATGTCAGTTGGCGCCTGGCAGTCACATATTCTAACCGATGTCAGTGGGCGCCTGGCAGTCACAGGTTCTAACCGATATCAATTAGCACCTGGTAGCCATATATATTTACATATTTCAGTTGGCGCCTGGCAGTCACATATTCTAACCGATGTCAGTGGGCGCCTGGCAGTCACAGGTTCTAACCGATGTCAATGAGTGTCTGGTAGCCATATATATTTACATATGTCAGTTGGCGCCTGGCAGTCACATATTCTAACCGATGTCAGTGGGCGCCTGGCAGTCACAGGTTCTAACCGATATCAATGAGCGCCTGGTAGCCATATATATTTACATATGTCAGTTGGCGCCTGGCAGTCACATATTCTTACCGATGTCAGTGGGCGCCTGGCAGTCACATATTCTTACCGATGTTAGTGGGCGTCTGGCAGTCACAGGTTCTAACCGATGTCAATGAGCGCCTGGTAGCAATACATATTTGTATATGTCAGTTGGCGCCTGGCAGTCACATATTCTAACCGATGTCAGTGGGGGCCTGGCAGTCACATATTCTTACCGAAGTTAGTGGGCGTCTGGCAGTCACAGGTTCTAACCGATGTCAGTGAGTGTCTGGTAGCCATATATATTTACATATGTGAGTTGGCGCCTGGCAGTCACATATTCTAAGCGATGTCAGTGGGCGCCTGGCAGTCACATGTTCTAACCGATATCAATGAGCGACTGATAGCCATATATATTTACATATGTCAGTGGGCGCCTGGCAGTCACAGGTTCTAACCGATGTCAATGAGTGTCTGGTAGCCATATATATTTACATATGTGAGTTGGCGCCTGGCAGTCACATATTATTACCGATGTCAGTGGGCGCCTGGCAGCCACAGGTTCTAACCGATATCAATGAGCGACTGATAGCCATATATATTTACATATGTCAGTGGGCGCCTGGCAGTCACAGGATCTAACCGATATCAATGACCGCCTGGTAGCCATATATATTTACATATGTCAGTGGGCGCCTGGCAGTCACATGTTCTAACCGATATCAATGAGCGACTGATAGCCATATATATTTACATATGTCAGTTCGCGCCTGGCAGTCACATATTCTTACCGATATCAGTCGGCGCCTGGCAGTCACATATTCTTATCGATGTCAGTGGGGGCCTGGCAGTCACAGGTTCTAACCGATATTAATGAGCGCCTGGTAGCCATATATATTTCCATATGTCAGTTGGCGCCTGGCAGTCACATATCCTTACCGATATCAGTGGGCGCCTGGCAGTCACATATTATTACCGATGTTAGTGGGCGCCTGGCAGTCCCATATTCTTACCGATGTCAGTGGGCCCCTGGCAGTCCCATGTTCTAACCGATGTCAGTGGGCGCCTGGCAGCCACAGGTTCTAACCGATATCAATGAGCGACTGATAGCCATATATATTTACATATGTCAGTGGGCGCCTGGCAGTCACATGTTCTAACCGATATCAATGAGCGACTGATAGCCATATATATTTACATATGTCAGTTCGCGCCTGGCAGTCACATATTCTTACCGATATCAGTCGGCGCCTGGCAGTCACATATTCTAACCGATGTCAGTGGGCGCCTGGCAGTCACAGGTTCTAACCGATGTCGGAGGGGCCCTGGTAGCCACAATGACTTACCGATCTCAGAGGTCGCCTGGCAGCCACAAGTAGTTAAATATGTCAGTGCGCGCCTGACAGTCACAAATACTTACAGATGTCAGTTGGCGCATGACAGTCACATGCTCTTACCAATGTCGGAGGGGCCTTAACAGCCATAAGTACTCACCAATGTCAGTCGGCGCCTGGCAGCCACAGGTACTGACCAAGTAGCGATATTTACACTCCCTCAGACAGGCTTTACGACTGTACGTGTCGTGATATTCCAGCGGGTTCTTAAAGTCGGAGGATTCGGTGTCGAGGCAGTAGCCACCCCCACTGGACTGGTACGGGTACGGCATGTACTTGTACTGGTGACAGAGATATTTAGGTCAATACATGTTCCACTTAATACATAATGTTCTTGTGCCAAATGTCCATAGGGGTTAATAAATTAACACAATCTACATGTATAAGATTGTATGTCAGATGCCATCTTGTGAGTTACAAAATAATCATACTTTATGTCTTTATAATAATTTGGGATGCTCCTATATACCCCTTACATGAAGAAATTGCATTCAAAGGGCTATGAACTCAACGGGATCATTGTCAGTTTGTCACTTCTCCTCCTATCTCACACTCTGTTTCAATATCTTTGCTGGTATGAATGCAAGTCGGTCACGTTCACCCCAGCATGAATATCAAACAAAATGCATTTGTTTCCGGTAAACATTCCCATCATCGTGATGAATGCACATATTTATTTCAATATCGATTGACATTATTAAAAACACGTGATTACATTAACATCTGAACTGTCTCGTGACGGTTTTTCCAAACGAAGAAAGTATTGAACAACGTGGGTGTAAGTCATGGGTAGTCATGTGTTTAGATTACTATCTATCCTTTTAGCGTATTTCGTAATCATGATGGTTCCGGTTGGCCGTGCTCCCACCATTGTTTCCTCTAGCTGTCGAGTGGTGTCTACTAACTGCCTCTATTTCGTCAGACGTGTATTTCACAATAATCAATTACTAATGAGGTGCTTTATCAGGGAGGTCAATCCATATATACTTGTAAACAAACAGTAACACGCATAGACGGATTTGGTTTATCTTAACACACAGATTTACATACGTATACAGATATCGGCACTCTAACATAACCAGAACAACTACATGATAGCACACGGGTACATTAGCATAATAGCACACAGTCACATAATAACACGCACACACATTTACATAAAAATATACAGGAATAGTTATATAAAAACTAGAACACAAAAGGAGTTATATAACAATAAACAGGCACATTTACAGTACAGTAGCACGTGAACTAATGTCATGATAACAGATACATAATTATTACATTGTCTTTCAGGTTATGGTAAGAATACAATATATGTATTTATCGCATAATGTACTGTGTTATCCAGTGATTGTTTTTTTTTTGCGTATTAACCCATGTAATATGACCTATCAGCCCTATGATTGGTTTTAAATTTTAATTGTTTCAATTTTGACGTCACGCCTAGGACAAGTATTTATTCGTGACATATGTGCGATACAATGTATGTAACTATATTAATCCAGTTAACATTACCTGTGACGTACGTCATTGAAAGTTACCATAGTAGTAGTATCATTGTAATATACTGTTGCTATGATTTCACTGTATCGGAACCTTACGATGTTGGTGTATTTCAGTGTAAAATACTGTCTCTTATTATATGTCATTTTGTAGTACTGCACGATTAATGAGTTATCACGTTTGCCATTGTACAATATGCATCATATTTCATTTGACTATTATTGTATACATGTATCATTGTAAATTTGTAATATACTGTACTATTTGTATGTCTACTCTCCGAAGTGTCTTACACAAGGAATAAAACAATCGGAATCTGAATCTGAAGTACATGACGTCACAAACTTACGCACTGGAGTCGAAAAAATGGCTTTTTACATTTCAAGGTTGCATGACAATTGTCGTTTTAAACGAATATATGCAACAAATCTTGATTACGTGATAAAAAGGATCTAACACTCGTTTTCATTCATATGAAATTTATGAAACTCGTCACGAATTGTTCATTTTAGCTCTTCAGAGGCTCACTAAATTGAAAAATTCTAAGACTCGTTTCATAAATCTCATATTAAATGGAAACTCATGAAAGATCCTATATATATCACTCTGTATTATTTATAAATATTATACAACATTAATAAAGTGTTCTTTATAATCTAAAATCTTTCTAACATTATATAGTGTCGTGTTAGATTAAGGAATGATATACAATATTTCCATACCGTCTTCTATATACAATATATACATAATAATCAATAGGCGATTATACTATTCAAAAGTACACATCTTCAACATGTATATATAACGGTTATTGACAGGATCGCAAGCCAGAGGTATCAAATGCAGACAGGTTGGGATTTACATCGTTTAAATGGTGGGAGGTTATTCAATAAAATGGCTGCTATATTTTGAAACACGAAATGATGCGTATCTGTTTCATCTAGTACGTATGTTGTGTGTGTGTATCAGAGCCTCGTACTGAGACGTGTGTCGTACTGATGACCAAAGACAGGAATACAATACTGGTGTAATATACTCTTTCTTTCGATTAAAGGTAACAAGTCGATCTGGTGTATTCTGGTGTATCTGAAAACAGCCAGGTACTTTATCAAATGCAGCCAAAGTATTCAGAATCGATAGTAACATGTGTTCACAATGGACCATCTATGACCAAGTATTAAACAAAGCGTGGCGGAATCGAGTCATTCGGCATCGATTTTTGTGGACAACTCGTACACATTTTACACCTTTGTGTGCATACGCTTCGCTTGTCATTTGTCTGATGAAGGTGGCATTGTACTTATCATTCTAGTCATCGAAACGTCACATACAAAATGTTACTGGTTGTGTAAAAAGAACTTTTCATAATGTTCACAATGGAGTTTTAAACTGTAGCTTCAGAACTGTTGTCTTTTTGCCCCCGTGTGTGTTTGTTCAGCATATGGGCTATCATCATAGCCATTCTTTTGTCATCTGACATGTTCCAAGACTATGGCGTTTGATTTTGTAACAATAAACCTAAACTGAAATACTTTGTAATTTACTTTATGTTAAATCTTCTTTAATACTTCAGTAACAATATGATTTTTATTGAACACGTGTTGGAAAGGTCTCTATTGACATAATGTACCTGCCTGTCCTATACAAACAAAAGACTAACGTTTACGCTACCAGAATAGGTACAAGAACAGAAATGGTTCGCATAAAACTAAATTTGTGTATTTACCTCTGATTATTATTATTCTCTTTATTTCCTCCTTTAAGAAGATTTTACAAACAGAATAATGTAATTATAATGATATATAAGATAATAGATACAAAATCAAATAGATGGTAAGGCAAAAATTATTGCACAACATAATAAGTTAACATAATAGAAATAAGTTAATCAATTTGAGTACAGTTTACAAAAGAATACATAATTAATAATGTTAAGAATGATATACCCAAAAGTATTGAATAATCATTCGAAGTATACATTAAGCATTTTTGAAATATGATTGACTGATGCCATACGAAATTCTGTTAACTCTAATGTATTCAGTTCATACGTTATATTGCCACCAATCAGTAGGTGAAATAATTCATAGTCTGAATGAGAGTGTAAATATACACTAAACATAAGTTCACATGTATTAATGACTTGACACCATAACTGATCTCGTAAGTCTTCAGTACAATCACATTGTAAAACTATGTGGGTATATATATCGTTATACATTTGTCCACATTTATGACATAATTCAGTTTTTTCTGAATGTCTTAGAGATACAATCAATTTCATTATACTATGTATGGCTTCTCTGTTTTGAGGAAATTTTATTAACAATTTCCACAATATATGAGGAGCCAAATTATCATGAACAAATATAAATCTGCAGAAATCGCGGTCACCACTCATTCTCTCCTTCCATCCTTTTTCTTCATATAACTGTACATTATGCTTTACTTTCGCTTTCCATATACTTTTCACTGGAAATATTCCATTTGATAAACATTCTTGTACTAATTTGTATAAATCATATTTCTTTAGTACCCTAATTACTTCATTCATAAATCCATTATTATACACATTGGTCCCTATAACTGCCATACAAAGACGAGTAAAAAACACAAGATAAGATATACAGTTTTTCTCCAAGTTGCATAATCTTCCAAACAATAATAATTTCTTGGTATCTATGTATGCTTCTAAACTTAACCAACCCAGAAGGCCTGTGCACATATCTGTACGGGTTCTTGTATGGAACCCCTGAATTGACTTTAAAATGAAACGTTGTGCTCTTTCTAACATTAAAATTTCGGTTTTTTGAAGACACCATAATTCACACCCATATAGGGCTGAAGCATATACTTTTGATTTCAGTATTTTACTAATCGTTAAAGGATTTAATGCACATGGATGAGCACCACTTTTAATTAAACTCATGACACCACTCTTAAGCTTATTACATGCGCGTACTGTACGTTCCATACTATTAAAATTATAGTTCAACATCACGCCAACATGTGTTATATCCTCAACTTCTGGAAGAAGATGCCCATATAGATATAATTTCGTACTAAGATTTCGCTTCTTTTTTCTAGAGAAATACACTATTTTACTTTTAACTGCAGAAAATGTGAAACGCCACTTTCTGCTATACGCTTCGCACATCTCGAGCATGTATTGTAAGCTTTTACGCTGTGTACTAACCAGACATATATCATCTGCTTGTGTTGGTATATTAATTCTTAAATCGGCAATAAGTGCACCCTTCCCACATTTTTCAATACTGTCTAATAAACTGTTTATGAATACAAGATACATTTTGGCAGACAACGCACTCCCCTGTAAAATCCCCCTCTCCATACGGATCCATCTTGAACTTAAACCATTAAATATAACACTACTTCTTATATCTGTGTATATTGATTTCAAAATATGCCATGTCTTTGAAGTGATACCGATCTCATTTAGCTTATACAACAAACCATCATGCCATACGGTGTCAAATGCCTTGTTACTATCTAAAAAGGCCACATAAACATCTTCTTCTCTTTCTAAATTATAATGTATACATTCTTGCAGATTAAATGCAGTTAACAAACTGCATAGTCCTTTTTGATATGCTGACTGTTGCTTATTCGGAAAGTTGTTACAATTAAGAACTGAATCTAATCTTTTAGCTAAAATCATTTCAAAAACTTTAAAAATGNACATCGCATTAACAATTTCAGACATATCTGTGCTCACTCAAGAAAATTTCGCGTGGCTGCCATTCCCTCATTCGGATCCCTTCGGGCCAGAACGAATCATCGCTGATAATATCTGCGTCCTCCGCTACTATGTTCAATTGCGCTGATGCCGTGTTCTTCCATCGTTTCTCAAAATACCTTAACAAAGTAACGCGCACATTAGCTTCCTCAAGATAGCTTCGCATGGCAGCTTCTGAGGATATTTGTCGGTTTATTCCATGTACGTAGAATCGCCTGATTCTCCTTCTTTGTTGCTGCTGGAATCCCACAAATCGCTTTGCCATCGGATTACACACAGATGTTGGGAAATGGACCTTTATCGGGTGTTGAGTTGTCGTTTCAGCTGATATATAAGATGGATTCTCAGTATCCACGGAACGCTTCTCATTTAGAGACTCCGATTGTAACATGTCGCTCCAAGTTTTTTGTCGCGTGTCGTTTCCTTGGCAGAGTCCTCTAGCGTTCCGATCGGTTTTAGGATCTAACGTGTCTGTGAAATAATTCGCTGTTTTTGTGCTTTCCAAGTTATCCACCTGGTTTATCTGATTGTTCGATGATGCACTCAACACACTGAATCTGTTAAACGTCTTTACGGCTGGTTCTGTCTGACTCTCCTCGATAAGATCCACACTCCTGTTGGTCATGTTGTGTTCACTCTTTCTTTGTATGTCCTTCCTTAATTTGTCAACTTGTTTCTTTATACCAACTACCGATGCTGCACATGTCTTTAATGATTCCCTTGTCTCACTCAGGTCTGATTCGTAACATTTTGTGTAGTTAGTCACGCGGTCTGATACCAGTTTCATTGTCTTTTTAACACTTTCAACACCATTCAATTGTTCGTTATCGTATCTTTTTGCCATGTTCTTAAAGTCTGTTGTGGCTTCTACCGTCTCCTTAATATCCATTTTCATCTTTACAATCTGTTTCATCGTTTGTTCCACTTGTCTTTTGTTTTCACGTAGTTCATCCTCAATACATTTGATCGTTGAACAGCTTTTCTTTCGGATCCTCCCATTTTCAGTTTTCAAGGAATTTATTTCCGTCCTATCCTCGGTCTGCTTTAGTTTCAGTTCGCTGACAGTTTCTTGCAATGCTTCATAGGATTGCTGTGCTTTTTCACGTGAAATCTTGATCTCTGCTACCTCCGTTTGCAGTTGCTTCAAGTCTTCTTTATACTTTAACGCCCTGTTTTTAGCATTTTCTTTCTCTTTCATTAAACCATCGATTCTTGATGTAAGTGTTTCTATTTTCTCGTTGTGGTCACTTTTCACAAAGTACATATCGCGTTTCAAGACTGCTATGGTTTCCTGTAGCACACTAAATCCTGCCAATTCGCTAGCACCGCGATTTCTATTACTGTAAGAAAGTGATTGAGTCGACGAAATGTTGGAGGATTTTGAAGGGGTTATATATAAGCATGTTTAAATGTTGTTTTCTGGTCCTTATATCCAAATAATATTAAAAGTGTATATACAATTGTAGTTCAGTATGGTATACATAAAAGCAATATATTTTGTTGCAATTGGCACATCTACTATTAGAAATAAATATAAGCTTTATAGCCTGTAATATGGTGTACCAGTTTGGGTACTCATCATGACTGAAGAACGAACGAAATCTCAGTCCGAGTTTAGCGTATTATTTTTAAAAACAAATTACTTAGAGTCAAAACTTTTCCTGAAAGTGAATCAATTAACTTTCCAGATAAAAATCAGGACTTTTAAATATAACTGAAAAACTGTCAAAATTGTGCTAATTGTGGAAGCGTGGCGTTTCAAGAGAGTAATTATATACAAATTGGCATTAGTGTATACCTTGGTAAGTTGTAGAGAGGCATAGGACGAGAATCCCGGGGAGGTGAAGAAACCTTTGTCGGTATCGGGCTCCTCGTCTGGATCATGGACAACTATCTGTTAGAAAAACAAAAAACGTCAGAGCAACTGGTCCGTTTATCTTATATATTGCTTGGTAGGTAGAAACAGGTACAAGATATAAGATACATGAATTATTAAGTCGCAAACAGGTAAACAAAAATAGTAGTTCATGTGAGCAATTACTGCGACAAACATAGGTAAAATATCACACATTAGAATATCACATATAAAGGGAGGTAACCACTGAAACGATATTCACAAAACTAATTAAAAACTTGTGAAAATACAACATGTATAAATCATAACGAAAAAGGGAACGGTAGCAAACAGATAAATGTGACATTATATTCTATTACTAAACGGAATAAATTTGTAGTACTTTAAATAACCTTTCTTTTCAAAAGTTGTCAGGAAAAGATTTTAAAATATCATTTCTATGATAGTCTGAGTAAGTACAAAGTTGCCCAATTGAATCTTAAACAGATAGAACCTACTTTTCTGTATACAAATAGTTTTATTACCTCCGTTGTTTACGATCTTGTCGGTGAAGGATACAGTGTACTCTCTTTGACACACAGTTTTCCAATCATTATGTAATAAAATTATAAAAAAAATCGTTCTAATAGTTCGAGTATTATTGCAGCTTGATACATTAATTCAGTAAAAACCCTTCTCAAAATGTGAACACTGTGATATTGTATCAAACATAGTAAGTCTATGCAGGAATCCAACAAAATAACGATTTTCTAAGTTCCTGTTCCATATGCCACATCTTCTATAAAGAGCTCTGTGGTTATATAGGTCAAAAGAATGAAACCCCGTCTTCCGAAACATGTGTTGAAATATAGCCAATGAGAACAGTGCCAATAAACCATTTTATAACGTTACATAGTGATAACTTTGCCTGAAACAGATACTTAAACCGCAGAGGTAGGACTCGCCATTGTGATTATAAAGTACATACATATACAACTTTTAATACACCAGCGCCAAGTTCAAAATGTACATGTAATTTGCGCGCGAATATTTCAAATAGGTTACAGACATCCTCACAAGACATTTTGTTTAACTTTGGCAAAATGGTGTTTACAGGACAATATCCACATCAATACATTCAATACTAAAACAAAGATTACCTTCATTCCTGCCGCCATGTTGTCATTGTACACGTACTCGTCTTGGTTGACATGGATGTAAAACGCAAGCGACTTGGTACTTCCGGTTATAGTTGTGATCAAGGCTTCATGTTCCCTGATATATTCTTTACTGTTGAAGGTGTAACAAAGGCCGATGTCGGTCAGAGTTGGAGTGAGAACCGTCATACAATTGTTCATAACGTCTTTCATGTCAACACATGCCCCGAACATGTCCAATATGCTATATGATACGTTGTGAAGCCATCCTTCCGGTAGGGGGAGCGACAGGTTACTATACCAAGGGTGGTCGTAGTCTATAGGAGACACAAAATCTTTCATTCTGCTTAATGTTAGAAGATAATGCTCCATCACAGGGTCGGGTTTCAGGCCTGATTTCTTGTACGGTGACAAATTACAGAATGTGATGGCAGGGAACGGCAGCTGGTTGACGAGTTCCACTTTGATGTTAGACATAGTTGTGTGCTGGGTGTACTTCTTAAATAAGTCGACGCACGTGTATATCAACAAACCGCCCATACACAGTAACGCTATCACCCATATGACCCTACAATCAAATATATCGTACATTGTATTAAAAAAGACATAATTCAAAGTTGAAACTAACTTCTTTCTCGAGTGTTTTAAAGTCATATCACACGCGCCGTTTCGCTTTCCTAACGCCAATATTGATAGATATTATTTTTTTCTGATGTAAGTAGTATCCGACGGATAAAGGAATCAATTCTTCTCATTACAGAAGAGTAGATACCATTTGCCAATACCAGGTTATAGATTGCCGAACTTCGATTCGCTGTTGGATAATCACAAACCACGTGAACAGTAACAGAGACAAAATACAACGGCAAAATGAGAACCAAATTTTCTAAACAACGGGAATTTCTCTGAAAGCAAAATAGAAATAAAGACATTGGGATCTTTAAACGAAAGGAGAGCCCATTGGACCAAATTATTCGTCACAAAAACATAAAATGTCATAATCTTCTTTAAAAAAACTAAACCATGTTATCTGTAAATACTGAATTACAAATCTTATTATAAAAATCTCACCAAAATTGTCAAAACAGGGGCAGAACTTACGCTTGGAGTTTGTACTTTTTAGAACTCGAGCATAACGTACCCTCGAAGCTTGTACTTGTCAGAACACTGGAAGAACTGACCTGCGCAGTTTGCACTTGTCATACAATGGGCAAAACTTACCCTCGGAGTTTGTACTTGTCAGACCATAGACAGAACTTACACTCAGGGCTTGTACTTGGAAGAACACGGACAGAACTCACCCTCAGAGTTTGTACTTGTTAGAGAACAGGTATAACTCACCCTCAGAGCTTGTACTTGTCAGAACACAGATATAACTTACACTCAGAGCTTGTACTTATCAGAACACAGGTATAATTTACACACAGAGCTTGTACTTGTCAGAACACAGATATAACTTACACACAGAGATTGTACTTGTCAGAACACAGATATAACTTACACTCAGAGCTTGTACTCGTCAGAACACAGGTATAACTTACACTCAGAGGTTGTACTTTTCAGAACACAGATATAACCTACACACAGAGCTTGTACTTGTCAGAACACAGATATAACTTACAATCAGAGCTTGTACTTGTCAGAACACAGGTATAACTCACACTCAGAGTTTGTACTTGACAGAACACATATATAACTTACACTCAGAGCTTGTACTTATCAGAACACAGGTATAATTTACACACAGAGCTTGTACTTGTGAGAACACAGATATAACTTACACACAGAGCTTGTACTTGTCAGAACACAGATATAACTTACAATCAGAGCTTGTACTTGTCAGAACACAGGTATAACTTACACTCGGAGCAGGTACTTTTCATAACACAGATATAACTTGCACTCAAAGTTTGGACTTGTCAGAACACGGGTATAACTTACCCTCGGAGATTGTACTTGTCAGAACACAGATAGAACTTACACTCAGAGATTGTACTTGTCAGAACACATATATAACTTACACTCAGAGCTTGTACTCGTCAGAACACAGGTATAACTTACACTCAGAGTTTGTACTTGTCAGAACACAGGTATAACTTACACTCGGAGCATGTACTTTTCATAACACAGATATAACTTGCACTCAAAGTTTGTACTTGTCAGAACACGGGTATAACTTACACTCGGAGATTGTACTTGTCAGAACACAGGTATAACTTACACTCAGAGTTTGTACTTGACAGAACACATATATAACTTACACTCAGAGCTTGTACTTGTCAGAACACAGGTATAACTTACACTCAGAGTTTGTACTTGTCAGAACACANTGACTCGCATATTTCAGTCCATGCATGGTCGTGTTTGATCTGAAGGAATGCCATAAAGTTTGGACATTCGTGTCGGGTAGGAAAGGACTGGACTTTCCTTCTGAAGCATTTTCCTGAAGAGGTGGTTTCTCAGATGTCGGGGCTACTATCACCTCCGTACCATACTCGAGAGATATCAAGGTTGTCTGTGGAGGCGGGTGAGGAGGCGACATCACAGAGTAAACAGGAGGCTCGTCTGACGTCATGGACGGTTTCTTGGAAAGCTTTTTTTGCGAACTTAACTTCCTAACGATGGTATTCACTGACGGTTTTACTTTTATCTTTTTCATGGTTAGTAATTTTTGTCACACTTCTTTAAAAACACGTCACAACCATTCATGTCATCTCAAAGAAATGTATAAAGTAATTCTGCTGTTTAATAACAATTTCCTGTGCACCATATAACACTTGTAAAATTGTTTGTGGTGTTAGTGTGGACACTTAAGTGACTTCCAGCGAGTCAGTCTGTGAGAACACCTCAATGCGACGGGGCGTCTGTACGGATACAGCAGCCACCAGGAACTGAGAACTATCCTCGACACAGATCAATACTGTTGACTGGTGACAGAGCTGCGCTTGATCCATTATCGTCCGGGTGTTCACAGAACAATTAATTAATGTAAACATATAAACGGGTAGCGTTTCACTTCACGTATTAACATCAATTATATTTCCCCAGAGCATGCCCATTATTATTGTATTAAGTAACATTTGAAAACAATAAACAACTCCCAAACGAATCTATTCACAAAGGAAATGTTAATGAATTCCGTACCCTAAATAACCTGATCTCCCGCTACATGACGTCATGATGCAAAACGTATTCATTGTACTTAGGTTAAGAGTGATAAATAACGACGGAAACCCCATGTCGTGTTACCAAAAGTGCTAACAAAAATCGCCAGCTGAGTACGTCTCTAGTGTTCTATACAATTGTAAAAAACTTGCAGAAGGGCTGGTTACGTTTAGCATGATCTATAAAAAACAACTTGCAGAACGACTTGATCTCATCTGCATTCTGTAGAAGGAACTTGTTACATCTCCAGTGTGGTGTAAAATACCGCCTACTTTGTCAGAAAGACTAGTTATGTTTCCGGTGTTCTGGGGAGGGATTCCACGGCGTCTTTCTTGTATGTTTGTTTGTCTTTTTCTCTACAGCAGATTTTAAACTATGACCTAGAGAAATAGCATTTTATAATTCATATTTTGTTTTGTTTTGGCAACTGCAACAATAAGTTAAAGTGTCTTGTAAGTAACTAACGTGTCTTATAAAGTCACATGCCAAATTTAAGGGTCTTAGTGAGAATTATATGTACAGACGCTTAAGTGTAAGACCAACAAAACTACAACCTATCGTCTCAAAATGAGTCTATAACCGCCTCAACAAATCTATTTGACTCGGATTTCAACTAGATTTCTCACAACATGCTTTCTCGATCCCAGATAAAATCTATCCTGGTTGACCTTGAGTCTACATTCTATCCTTGAGTGTTATTTTATTTTATATATTTTACTTGTGTTTTTACACTATCGTATATTTCCTAGTGTGTTAACACTGGAATATTTTCCTTTCCTTGTGTGTTAACATTGTGGGACATTTCCCTTATGTGTGAACACTGTGGAGCATCTTCCTTGTGTGTTAACACTGTGGACTATTTTGTTGTTGTGTTAACACTGTGAACTATTTTGTTGTTGTGTTAACACTGTGGAGTATTTTGTTGTTGTGTTAACACTGGGGACTATTTTGTTGTCGTGTTAACACTGTGGACTATTTTGTTGTTGTGTTAACACTGTGGATTATTTTGTTGTTGTGTTAACAATGTGGAGTATTTTGTTGTTGTGTTAACACTGGGGACTATTTTGTTGTAGTGTTAACACTGTGGACTATTTTGTTGTTGTCTTAACTCTGTGGAGTATTTTGTTATTGTGTTAACACTGTGGACTATTTTGTTGTTGTGTGAACACTGTGGACTATTTTGTTGTTGTCTTAACTCTGTGGAGTATTTTGTTATTGTGTTAACACTGTGGACTATTTTGTTGTTGTCTTAACTCTGTGGAGTATTTTGTTGTTGTGTTAACGCTGTGGACTATTTTGCTGTTGTGTTAACACTGTGGACTATTTTGTTTGCGTGTTAACACTGTGGAGTATTTTGTTGTTGTATTAACACTGTGGAGTATTTTGTTGTTGTGTTAACGAGTATTTTGTTGTTGTGTTAACACTGTGGATTATTTTGTTGTTGTGTTAACACTGTGGAGGATTTTGTTGTCGTGTTAACACTGTGGATTATTTTGTTGTTGTGTTAACAATGTGGAGTATTTTGTTGTTGTGTTAACACTGGGGACTATTTTGTTGTAGTGTTAACACTGTGGACTATTTTGTTGTTGTGTTCACACTGTGGACTATTTTGTTGTTGTGTTAACACAGTGGACTATTTTGTTGGCGTGTTAACACTGTGGAGTAGTTTGTTGTTGTGTTAACACTGTGGAGTATTTTGGTGTTGTGTTAACACTGTGGACTATTTTGTTGTTGAGTTAACACTGTGGACTATTTTGTTGTTGTGTTAACTCTGTGGAGTATTTTGTTGTTGTGTAAACTCTGTGGACTATTTTGTTGTTGTGTTAACACTGTGGATTATTTTGTTGTTGTGTTAACAATGTGGAGTATTTTGTTGTTGTGTTAACACTGGGGACTATTTTGTTGTCGTGTTAACACTGTGGACTATTTTGTTGTTGTGATAACACTGTGGACTATTTTGTTGTTGTCTTAACTCTGTGGAGTATTTTGTTATTGTGTTAACACTGTGGACTATTTTGTTGTTGAGTTAACACTGTGGACTATTTTGTTGTTGTGTGAACACTGTGGAGTATTTTGCTGTTGTGTTTACACGGTGGACTATTTTGTTGTTGTGTTAACACTGTGAACTATTTTGTTGTTGTGTTAACACTGTGGAGTATTTTGGTGTTGTGTTAACACTGTGGACTATTTTGTTGTTGTGTGAACACTGTGGATTATTTTGTTGTTGTGTTTACACTGTGGACTATTTCGTTGTTGTGTTAACACTGTGGAGTATTTTGTCGTTGTGTTAACACTGGGGACTATTTTGTTGT